AGTTGTGAATTTATTTTGACATTTTGTTCCTGCATTATTTTCCTGAATTCTTCCATTTTTTTTGTCTGTATTTTCCATGAATTCTTCTGCCTTTTCCATGAATTTGTCTATTTTTTCCTCATTTTTTTCTGCTTTTTGCTTCAACTCTTGGATAATTCTGAGTATTAGAGATTTGAATTCCCTGTCAGGTAGTTCTAGTGCCTTTTTTTCTCCTGGAAAGTCATCTAATGTTTTATTTTGGACGACTACTGGAAGCATCCTATCCTGTTTTTATAAATGTTTTGATATTGTCTGCTGTCTTCAGGGTATTCAGTAGTTATTTTTCTTGTTTAGTGATTGTAGGTTTGTTTTTTTCATCCTTTTTTTTTTTTAATATGGCTATGTCTGAGCACATGGGCTGTGTGTTCTTTGTTTGCTCATCTGTGGGCACAATACTTTTCACCTCCTCCATTCGGCAGGGTCAGTTGCTTAGACATGGTACAGCAGGGCAGATCTAGCTCAAGAGGGTTGCTGGGATGGATTGTTTGTGGCACTTACTACAGCCACCAGGGCAGGTCGGTAATCAGTGCAGGGAAGGTTCTGGTAGGCCGTGCCTGTGCTGCTTGGTGGTGTGATGTTAAGAGCATGGTGCACATAGGCAGCATGGTGGGGGGAGATTGTGATGTGTGGAGCTGAGATGGATATGGGAGAAAGGAGAAAGGAACAGGAGCCAAAAACATACAAACAAAAAAGAGTGCTAGGGGAGCTTGCCATTGGAGTAGAGAGATGAGAGACTATGAAATGGTGAAAAGCAGAAAGGGGAAGAAGAATAAAAAAAAAGAAAAGAATCAATAAATAAAAATTAGAAAGAAAACAGCAAAGCTCCCATAGATCCCATTGGTTTGGGTACAAGGTCTGGGGAAGTTGTAACCAGGTGTTGAAGTACAGCCTGGCTAGAAGGCGTAGAGGTATTCAGCACCAGTTATTCAGGGGACAGAAAGAGAAGGAAGGTATAGAGAGACGAGAAACTGAGTAATGAAGAAAGACGAAAAGGGAAAAAGAGGGAAAACAAAACAAAACAAATTAAAAAAGAAGAGCAAGGAAAACTCCCCAAAAATGAGGGAAAAAAAAAACACAAAAAAAATGCTCTCAGGGATCCCTCTGCGCATCCAGTTAAGCTGAGGGGGTAGGTCCCAAGCTGCGCAGCACTGCCCGGCCAGAACGGGCTCCCAGCTGGAGAAAAGAAAAAGAAAACAAACAAACAATTCAAAACAAACAAAAGCCCTGGGATCCCACCAGTATGGCAGCACAGACCATGAAGCAGTTCCACACTTGATCAGAGCTCCACTGCCTCTCAGGAAGAAACAAAGATGGCCCACGGAGCCAGGTATTTGAGCGAAAGACCAGGGAGGTGGTGAGAGGTAAGGAAGAAATCAAAAGATGTGGAAAAAAGCAACACCAGCAGCCAATGAATGGCGCTTAGGGAGTTGGCCAGCGTGGGTGGGTGGAATCCAAGCAGCCGGTGCTTCCCGGCTAAGAGACTGTGGCCGCAGGAAGCAGAGGAGGCCGAATTGGGGTGAAGAAAGGTGGGGGTTGGGAAAGCGTATATTGCCAGTTACTGGTTGTTCTGTCTCCTGCTGGAAGCTCCGTGAAGCTGTTTTCTCGTACCCCCTGTTTGCTGGTCTCTGAAAGGAGTCCAAGATGGCGGATCCGTGCTGCATTAGCTGATAGGGGACCTCTGCATGTATGTCTCCTCCCTCTCTCTTCTCTGTCAGTTTCTTATTCCATTTGGTGCTTGGCTGGGTTCTTTATCTCTTCATATGATGTTTAGGGTTTCGTATTGCTGTTTTCTCTGTTTGGCTTAGTTTTTCGGATCTTTGCTGTGGAGGGACGGTGTGGTGCTTCTGCCTAGAATGCCATGTTGCCGAAAGTCCTAACTATTTACGTTTTTAATTTTAAAGTTTTCAAATAATTATTAGAACTGTTTATTTCACTTTGTATATGTTGGGATTGTGATCACATACTTTAATTTTTGAAAGAAACTTTATCGCATAAGAAATACTTATTTACTATTCAAAACTTAAGGAGTCCTGGTGTAGCAATGGTTAAGCCCTTGGCTGCTAACCAAAAGGTCAGCAGTTAGAACCCACCGGCCGCTCCGAGGGAGAAAAGACCTGGCAGTCTGCTCCTGTAAAGATTACAGCCTTGAAAATCCTATGGGGTAGTTCTACTCTGTCCTACACGATTGCTATGAGTTGGAATCAACTCAGTGGCACAGAACAACATAAAAACTTCCAATAAAAAAAAAAGATCCATGCCATCAAGTTGATTCTGACTCATAACGACCCTATAGGACAGAGTAGAACTGCCCCTTAGGGTTTTCAAAGAGTGGCTGGTGGATTTGAACTGCTGACCTGTTGCTTAGCAGCTGAGCTCTTAACCACTGCACCACAGGGCTCCTACAAAATACAGCATAGCCAAGTAATAAACAGTACTTAAGAAATTAACTGTGGTAATAGTAACACCCTTGTACAATTACCATACAATTTCCTAACCTACTGCTTTCTCTGCATGAATAATATATGTAGACATATGTTAGATTTATTTTTTAATGAAGTCTATAGATATTGTTTTAGAAATTTTTTTATTCACAATAAAATAATTTTCCTATCTATGTATGTATTTTTACATTTTCATTCTTAATCGTTATAAAAACCTCTGCATTTAAAATTGATTATGTAAAATGTTATTTAGCTGTTAAAAGAATGCTGTGGAAGTTTTGTAGCACTATTTCAAAGCTCTTTTAATGAACTTTTTCTTTATAGAAGAAAAACTGTTACTGTCTTTTATATTTTGATTCTCACATTAAAACTGTACAATCAGAGTCTAAGACATTTTCATTGCATGGATAACTGTCATTGTGTGCTTTAAATAGTTATGTCCAGTGCCACTAATTCCTAGGGGAAAATGCAATTTTTATGTTTCTTCTTGTGTCCACATAGATTGGAGGAGACTCCCAAGGGAGATGATGCCAAGGAAAAAATGCAAAAAAGGTACATTGAACATATAATAGTAATCCAGGTAGGAAAGGGTTGTTGGTTAAATTTTATTGGTATGGAATTGTCAACCTGAAGTAACACCCAGTGTTGTCAGTGCTTTTGCTTAAAATATGTTTGGCATTTTGATTAGTTTGCTAAAGCTTGTTTTTATCCGTTGCTGTTGTTTTTTTGTTTTATTTTTGTTTGTTGTTTCTTTAATTGTGGAATTTTGATGTGCTAGGAAAAACTTCAGTTACGTGGACTCTTTCATTTACATATTTGCAATTTTTTGAATAATTATACTGGCTACATTTAAGTTTTTAGCCAAAAAGGTTTACAATTTGTAACTGGTAGAACTCTATGTTGTACGTAAAAATACCAAAGTGAAAGCTTCCATTTTGTTCTTCAGAATTTACTAATTTCATTGAGTAAATAGTTGGTGAGCATCTGCTACACTTACCAGAGACTGGACTGAGAAGAATAAAACAGTGAGCCAAGTGGGAATAATTCTTGCATTCATGGAGCTTACAGTCAAATTGGGCAAAAACATTCAACAAAAAATGCACTGTCCTCTTGGAGAGGCCAGAGATGGGTTCTCTGAGGAAATGAAATTGGAGTTAAGATTGCAGGATGTATAGGAGTTTACTAATACGCGACTGGGAGAGGGGAGAGACATTAGATGGAGACTGGGTTTGTGAGAGAAAACCATGAGGTCGGTTCAAACATGTTTTGGGGGTTCCTTTGAGATACACAGATAGAGATGTGGAATATTTTGTCAGATACAGGGAATGGACTTCAAGATGGAGATAGTAGTGATCAGCGTAGATACAATCATTGAGACAGTGAGAAAGTATGAGATTGTTGAGGATAAAATTAGAGAATTAAGAGAAATGAGGGCCTAAGCCTAAGCTTGGAGGAATTCCAAGATTTAATGGGCAGGTAGAGAAGATTGAATCAACAAAGGAAGAGAGATGTAAAAGAAGCACAGGAGTGTGTAAAGTTTTAGATTTTACTCTAGACATATGAGTCGTTAAATGAGAATGAGTAGAGGCCAAGAAAGACCTAGGCAGCCAAGGTGGATTATGAGAATACGGGTTGAAATGGTTGTGATGAAATAAGAGAAGAAATAAAAGCAAAAATAAAGGCCGTCTGAAACTTAGAATAAGTAGCTTGAGTTTAACTTAGAATGGAAATGATGCTTCCACAAACAGCAAGGAAAAAATTCAGTAACTAATAGTCTTGAAAGATGAAAATCAATCAATAAATATTACTGTATTAATTACAAATGTATTTGACTATAGGTATCAGAAAACCTAATTAACATTGACTTTAAAAAGAGAGTTTTATTTTTCTTAGTGACAAGAATTTTAGAAATAAGTGGTGGAGATTGGTGTTGGGTTGGTTGGTCAGCAGTGCCATCAAGTACCCTGGTTCTTTCTAACTTGCCTATCTGCCGTCTTTATATATTTGGCCAAAGGTGGAAAAAATATTCATGCCAGTGTTTTGGAGTTAAAACAGTCTTTCAACAAATTTTGCTAGTTTGATACTTTTCCCCCAATTATGTGTATAAGGTTTAGGCATTCTATAAAACTAGAATGATAGGTGGCGAAGAATGCTGAGTGGACTTGAGTCTGCCACCGACTTTCTTAGAAATAAGCAATTTTTAATATTTACCTGACCGTATCCTATAGTATGTACTTAACAGACTTATGTGTTAGAAAGCAAAATAATTTGATGAAAGAGCCTTATAAAAAAAGACTTTGTGGTGTAAGTAAATTATATCCTTAGCTAATCGTTTTTGGCTCAATATTGTATATTGAGATCTTATTCATCTATGAGACTGTATTTTATGTAGCACAGTTCACATTGAACAGTCTTTGCTCCCAAGGGATTGGGGTAGAGAAAATTACCCATCATTAAATGTATTGCTTTTGTTTGAGCAAAGCGTCACTAATATATGTGTTTGGGAGCCATGGACTCAGTGACTCCCTGAGGGGTAATTTGGTATAACACAGTAAATTGTAATTTCATCAGTTATGAGTCATCCACCACAGACTAAAAAATTTCTTCTTCGGTAGGTTAAATGTTAATCTTTAACAAAATTACATCTTTCTGAGCCATATTTTCCTCTCTTACCAAGTAATTTCTTATATTTAGTTTGATTTTGAAAAAGAACTATAATACTTTCTGATCACAATGGGACAGTTTTGTAGCATATCATAATGCTTTTGTAAGAGACAGGCAGGATCTATATTTGAAATAATTCTGTATTCCCTGCTGCTTTAGAACAGCCTCAAAATGAAATATTTTTTTATATGGCTAAAACAAATTTGTGTATCTCAAAACCATTAAAATACTTAATTTCATTTATTATAACGCTTTAAATTTCCAGATTTGTATGATGGGTGTGTTCCGTTTAACCATTTTAATCTTCATTCCGTAAGGAATGATGTCTTATGCTGAGTATAACTTCTTGATGAATGCATATTTATCCTGTACTACTTTTTTTTATTTTGCAAACCTGGTAAAATTGCTTTGGTTAAAATAAAGTGTACTGATCAGTGAGCAAAAAGCTGGTGCAAAGGACAGATTTGTGAGAATCTTTCGTTGGTATCCTAGTGCTTCTACCTGAGTTAACATTTTAGCAGTTTTGGGCCTCGTAATATAAATTGTCAGTCCAAATTTTCAGTATTAGAATAAATCAGGTGTCATTCTTAGAGAATTTATCCTATTATGTGATTATCATTTACTCCTTATCATTGGGAAATTGTTATAGTGCAATGATTTATTTTGTTTATTTGAGAACGTTAATTCAGTCTGCAAATTATGTGACAGCTTGATCATGACATAGCATTCTGGTAGACAGTATATGAAAGGCAAAGAAATATAATCCACAGTTGTTAGAGAAAAATGTATCAACTACTTATTTTACTTCAGCAGGCCCAAAGTCCAAAAAGGCAACAGACGCTGGCAAAGTCACTTCAGTCACTAATACTACTGATGTGTTGAAAAAAATTGAGGTAAAGTTTTATTCTTAGTGTATATGAGAACTTAAAAAACATAAAATGTCATACATCTTTCTGCCTTCTTCAGCTTTTCAGCCTTCTCTCACTTTTTAATAACGTGGATTTGGCAGAAGCGAGCCTAGCGCACAGGGTAACTGGAAAGGTTTAAAAGTTGTTGGCTAGGAGGGTATGGAGGTTCCATCCTGTCCTTCTTTACCACTCACTTGTCAGCATAACCGAAAAACCAAACCAGACTGATTGCCATCAAGTCAATTCTGACTACAGTGACCCTGTAGGAAAGAGGGGAACTGCCCCATAGGGTTTCCAAGGCTGTAATCTTCACTGAAGCCGACTGCCACATCTTTCTCCTGTGGAGCAGCTGGTGAGTTCAAACCACCAACTTTTGGTTAGCAACCAAGCACTTATCCACTCCTCCCTTGTCAACACACTTCACCATTATAACCTGCTCCCTTTTCTATTGTGTTCCCATTTCCCCCTGATTTGAATTATGCAAGGGGAAAAAAACATGAGTTTCATACCAAAAATGTATTTCTTTTAAAAACTCTCTAATTTTTTTTTCTCCTATTGGTGTATGTGTACTTTTCAGTGCTTTTTCTCTGTGTCTTATGTTAAGTATAGAAGATTCTATTAGGGGGAAAACTGAACCTTGTGTAACTTATTTTTATATCTTTATTTTTTTAATATTTCCAAAATAAAAAGATGTAGAATTCAGGTTAATACACTTCACCCTCCCATCCCTGTCTCCAGACACGTAGTTCCTTTCCTGTGGATGGACAGTCAGTGTTACAGTTTCTTATATATCCTTTCAGAAATTTTTTATGCATAGCAAATAGATTTTTTTTCTCCTTGTTTTAAATGACAAATGGTGGTATATTACGCTTTCCACATTTTCATTATATCACTTAACAAAATATCTTGGAGATGGTTGTGTATCAGTATATGTAGTGTTACCTTGTTTGTTTTTTGGCTATAATTTAAGAATGAACCATAATTTATTTAATTAGTGCCCTATTGATGCGCATTATGTTTCATCAGTGTTTTGCTATTACAAACAATGCTGCAATGAATTCATGTTAAGTATGTAATTTCACATGCATAGGGTAAATTTCTAGAAGTTGATTTGTTGAGTCAAATGTTAAATGTGACATGCATTGTAATACAGATAAATATTGTCCAATTGTTATCCATGGAAGTTATACCAGTTTACTCCCACTATCAATGTATGTATTATCCTTCATTTATGACGATCTTAAATTAATGACAGCATGTAATACTGACAAAGGATTGTGTGCCGTGGTCTGTGATGAGCTGTTTTGATACATTATGTCCTTTAGACTTCACAACAACAGAAAAAACAGAATAATACCAAAACCCAGCTGGTGGATTCGAACTGCTGACCTTTTGGTTAGCAGCTGTAGCTCTTAACTACTGCACCACCAGGGCTCTGCAACAGAGAGAGCTGGTTATTATTACTATTATTCCTTACTTAACAGATGAGGAAGTCAAAGCTTAGAAAATGTTCCTTTTTCAGCTAAGGTGTCACAGCTGCTTGGTAGCAAAAACTCTTTATTTTTTGACCAGTACTTGAACTAACTGGAGATAACATGACTTAAAACACAGCCAGGAGAATTGATAAATGAACAGTGCTAACTACCAGGTTTAACTGTGATGGAATAATAGATGGGGTTACAAGACTAGCCAACTTGTATTGATTGAACGTAGGTTCTGGCTGTACTTAAAGCTTCCTGGTAAGAAGATGCTGATGTGCTCTAAGGAAGATTGATCTGGACCTCTCAGTGTGGTTTCTTCTCAGAACAAATTGTGTCTACTTATTCCGTACATTTTAACACCTCTTTTAGTACACACATTGATAAAACTGGAATTTTAAATCAAGAAATCCCAGTAAGTTAGCAGTTTTAATAGAGCAAAATTAGTTTCCAGATGACCCCCATGTTGCTCATTTGTTCAGCAAAAGCAGTTGCAAGTTTTATTTTAATAAAACCTCTATGGGCAGAGAGGGAGTGACATAGAGTCAAATTCATGATTATTGTGTGAATAATTAGACAGCAGTGAACTAATATTTGACCATCTCATTTTTTCATGACATATAGGAGGCTCTAGAGTGGCGACTGTTTAATATTTGAGCTAGAAGACCTGTTCCCTGTCCATAAATGAACTGTCTCAAAGTATTTTCACGTTGTATTATTTATTTTGTTCTCACAACAAATCTGTAAAGTAGTAGGGTTAGATTTATTTCACAGAAGAGAAAAAGGTAGCTATTAAGTAGAAGAGCTCAAACTAGTACAAAACGAATGAAGTTATGAGACAGTGTACGTGGCTCAGAGGGAATTTTTAAAAGTTGCATAAATTTGCTCTTTGTTAACTTATTGAAGTATTTATAGGTTTGATTTATGTGGTAGGAATAAAGATGTCTGAGTGGCAATGATAGAAGTAAAGACGTTCTAGGTCCTATGTAGCACTGAATGAATTCTGTATTTTAAAAATATTTTCATATAACTGCTTTAAATAATTATACTACTAATTATGAAATAGTAGTTAATAGCATGATTTTTTAGATATAGTGTATACCTTGCACAGAGTGAGGCAAATGTAGCACTACAATTCCCTTTTAACTCCACAGACTTATGGATTATAGGTGCACTGTTAAGAGCTCAGCTGCTAACCAAAAGGTCAGCAGTTTGAATCCACCAGCCACTCCTTGGAAATCCTATGGAGCAGTTCTACTCTGTCCTGTAAAGTCAGTATGAGTTAGAATTGACTCAATTGCAAAGGGTTTTTTTTTTTTTTTAATTACCTGATTAAAATAGTAATAAAAATACCATATATTAATTAATATTAATGTTTATTATATATGTATACTTGTATTCATTATTATTTTTAAAAAAATCTTTTTTGTCAAGTTGATTCTGACTCATGGTGACCCCATGTATTACAGAGTAGAACAGAGCTTTATAGGGTTTTCTTGGCTGTAATCTTTATGGAAACAGATTGGCTGGACTTTCTTCCGCCTCTGGGTAGGATTGCAAACCACTTGCAACACCATCTATCATTTTGCTCTGTCCTATAGGGTCACTATGAGTTGGAGTCGACTCAAGGGCAATGGGTTTGGTTTTATTTTTTTGGTCACTCCAAGTACAAAATGTGTTTTCCCCATATATATATGTAATCTACAAAGCAACTGTCTTATAATAGAGATGGAGTATTTACAGATATATGCATTAGTGTTCTGATGACTCTTTAAGAATAATCACATCTTAACTAACGTGATCTTGTACCTTAATTATGAGTGTTAATATGTGAAAATATTGCTGGTGCCAACCTGTGAAATTCTATCGCATGTACAAATTGAACATAATACAATTTAGTGAACAGATATAATAATGAAAATAGATCGTTTATCAAATTAAGAAATTGTTGGTAATCATAATAGAAATATAAAGATGTAGTTTTAAAGTTAAATTTGTGCACTATGGAAAGGTAGCATAGTGATTTTAACAGGGTAGATAACTGGAACCATGAGGCAAGTGAAAGCTTTATTCTAATTCTGCATCTCTTCTTTGCTTCCTCTTTTAGTGTCGCTAATGAGTGCTAATATTGATTAGCACTGATTTGATTTTTAATCTCTGCTTTCCTTCTCAACCTACCAGATCCATTAAGAAGCGAAAATTCCTGGGAATGGGAAAATAACTAATCAAGAAAAGAAGGGGTCAGGACATAGATAATCTGCAATTAGGATGATTCATCCCAGGATGACTTGATTTTGTTTTAAATAATCTCACTTCTAAACTAAAACACAAGCATTTTGAAATATTACTAATAGTTTTCATTTTTTCCTTTTATGTTAGGATGAAAAATAACATTCTGAAAATTCTTCATAAATGAATCATCTCAAGTGTTTTAGAAGGAGATAGGATAGAAATTATAAATATAAATCATTATGCATTAGAGATGGTTAACCCCATCATTACCTGAGACGTATAATGAAGTAACAAAATCAAAGACAATACTAGTGTAATTACAGGACAGTGAGTGCCTCATTTTTTTTTTTTTTTTTAGTGAGCTCACAGTTTCCTAGGTGGAGGCAAGAGAGGATTAGAATAGGGTGGTAGGTAACTACGTTATTCTAAGGCTGGGTCAAAGTCTACTCCTTTCTCTGTACGTTAATGAACTCACTTATACCAGGAATTGGAAAAGAGAGGTGATGGTGAAAAATCAGATGAGGAAACTGAAGAGAAAGAAGGAAACAAAGAGAAAAGTAAAGAAGGTGATGATGATGAAGAAGATGACGCTGCAGAACAGGAGGAGTACGATGAAGAGGAGCAAGAGGAGGTAATGGTCCATTCTGGAATGGTAACAAAGTACTAAGCTTAAGGATTATGTAATCAGGATCAGCTATATAGTGTATACTTAAAATCACCAAGCAAACAAGTTGATGGGAACCAGAAGTATGTTACTATCACTGGCATCAAGTCTTTGGTGTCAAGACAATTATTATAACATTGAAATTATAATGATGCCACAGTGAATTTAGGAAATAAAAATAATTTGATAGGCAGCTTTGTAAGCAGAAGTCCACAAGTTTGGGAAATTGATCAAATTAGTCTAATAAAGATTTATCTATATGAAACTTTAAATCAGATATTTAGGTAATTAAGGGCTTATTCACATAGGCCTGCGGGAGAATTCCTGCAATGCTAATATGTTTCACGGCCCAAAGTGCATGTGGACGCTAGTAGCAGTTGCCTTCGAGTCGACTCAGACTCATGGACTCATGGCAGTCCCGTGTGTGTCAGAGTAGAACTGTGCACCGTAGGGTTTTCAGTGGCTGGTTTTTTAGAAGTAGATCACCAGGCCTTTCTTCCAAGGTGCTTCTGGGTGGACTCACACCTTCAGTTTCAGTTAGCAGCCGAGCATGTTAACCATTTGCACCACCCAGTGATTCTGGACACTGTTAGGGAACAGTATAATCCAACCTCAGGTGTATGTCTGAGTCAGGACTCAGTGCTCTGCAGTTGGAAATTCCAGCTGTTAGAACATGGCGTGCTTAAAAATAAACTGGAATCAATTGAGACATTTTTAAGTAGGATAATTTTCTTGGTCAGCACCACTGTGGGACTTTGTAGATACCTCACTCAATAACCCTTGGCTGAGAGTTTCATCTCCATTCCAGTGACCTTTGTCTTCACTCCATTTCAGCTTCTCACACGACACTCTGCATCTTCTCTTCACCTGAAACTGCTCCAACTCTGAAATCCTTTATTATATGCTTTAATTATTTTGCATTAAATTTTGGATTCTTTTGAAATTTATACTAGTATAAAGGAAGAGGTACGGGTACAGTTTTATCTGTTTCCAATTGGCTAGCCAGCTGCTAAACTCATTTATTAAGTAATTTGCCTGCCTTATTGATTTGACCTTCTTCCTTTATTAGCTATTAGATTCCTGTATCCACTTAGATGTATTTCCAGACTCTGTTTTATTGGTCTGTCTATTCCTAAACCAACACTAAGCTGCTCCAGTTAATAGAAGCTTCTAATTATTTGTTAATATTTGTAGGGCATATCTTCCCTGCTATACTTTTTTTTTTTAAAGAATTTTCCTGAGTATTCTCTGTTGATTCTTCCAGATAATTTTTAAGTCTAAACATTTTAAACTTAAACATCACATATGAACCCAGCTTTCCTTCCAGATCATTTTTTATTCCCAGTGCACTTTGACATGAGTGAGACTCCAGTCCTTGTGCTCCTATATGTCCACTTTACTGGTTCTCTGTCTTAATTTCCTTCCCCAAGGAGCCTTTCAGTCTCTTTCTTGCCATTATGCTTGTCCCTTGTTCTCCAGCACACACTCTAGACCAAAGTAATCTTTGCTCTGTTCCACTGTCCTCCCCTTTACTCCTTCAAACCTGCCTATTGAGCACTGCTGAGGAATTACAGAAATTGATGCCACGAAAAACTTCACGGTCCACTAGTCCTGTTTTGCTTGCTAATACGTTTTCTATGTTTGTCTTGTCAAGTGAGCTCTCTACAATAATTATTTCAAATCATCTTTATTCTTAGCCCCCCTACTTTACCACCTTTACTTTTAGTCAGTGATTGCACCTTCACACAGAAGTTGGAGCCAAACATCAGAATTCTACTTGTTTCAGAATTCTGTGTCGAGACTTAGCACAGAGTACTGAATACCCCTAGTGGGCCTATATAATTACATTTCATTTTTTAGAGAAATCTCTCTAATAGAAGAATGATTTACGTTCTGAGTGAGAGGATGAGTGAGGAATGGAATGGGGGCTTCCTTTAAAGGAACTAAATTTAAGGTTAGCATCTTTGGTCTGTTTGACAATTAATTAACATTAGATAGGTATTAATGTTAATTAATTTACTCAGTGTATTGCGGATTTGATGAGCATTTTGTTTTGAAGAGTAAAATGGAGCAAATTATCTATGTAACACCTATATATAAAACTGAGGACATGTACAGATTTTATTTTTTTCTTCTTCTGTCTTTTGAATATTGTAATTGAAGAAAGAAGCAAGGGCTGGAGTGAAAGCCAGGTACTACCTGCTTAAGCATATACATCTGTATCTGATCTGGAATCAGATAACTTGGTAGGAGTCTTCAGCAAGTAGGGAGAATCACTAGGTTGAAAAAAAAAAAATCACAAAGAATGTCTTAGATTACAGAATATATCATTGAATCAAAATCCAATTTTGTAATGGTAGTGAAGTAAGGATAGTTTGGATAAATTAACTGTAGAGATAATCTGAAATTCTTACTTTAGCCATCAGTTTCAACAGGGTCTGCTACTTCATACCTATATCAAGATTACTAACATCACAAAATTACCTGATTTGAATCACTAAACATACTTGGAGGTGCCCATGTCCAAAACACAAGTGGCAAGTTACTTGATTTGGAGTAGTAGAGTATCCTTTCCTAACTCATTTCCACTTTTATGTACAAATTGGCTTTCTTATATTTCCACAGAGGTATCCTAGCCAAGGTCTCATTTACAAGGTGGCCTCAGTTGAACTCTCAACCATGTCACCCCTCTCAGGTACACTGGCCCCAGGCTTCAGCCAGGTTTCTAGACATTGTTGGATTTCTCGGCAATAGAGAAGCCAGGCCAACTTCTGGAGAGGGAAGGGTCTGAGCTCGATGCAGAGACTTAGAGTGTTCAAGGAAGACAAAGTAATGAAATATTTATCTGAGTAATTCAAGTTACCTTTCTGTCCATCATATTTTATATGCATCTCATGTGTACATATATTCCCCCCTTTAAGATAAAATCTTCAAAAAAAATAATAAAGCTGACATTCAGGAGACTTTCTTTTGGAAATAGTTTCTGTTTATTGCTTACTCAGCCATAGTTACTGTTGTAGACAGTAGGGATGTGGAGATTAATTTATACCTAACACAGTCAAATATATTTCCTTAATATTATATATCAAGCCAGTGTTCAAATTTTCCCGAATGCCTCCAAAACATTTTTTCAAATTAGTTTGTTCCGGTCAGAATCCAAATACAGTTCACACACAGCAGCTGATTGATAACTCTCTTCAATTTATTTTAATCTGTATCCAAAATACATTTTTGAATTAATTCTTTAAAGATAGAAAGCACAGATAGCTTCTGAGTCATTCACAGGGATAATAGTCTTAATCAGCCATGAGAATTGGAAATGTTCCCCGGGGGGCCTAATTCCTCTTCATCTAGAGGAAATTGAGGGGCCCTGGATGGAATATATGTCATCCTCCAGGTTTGGTTTAGTTATCTTGAGGCCTTTTTTTTTTTTTGATAGCAAGCAAAAAGTCTCTCTGCTTATGCTCAGTTTGCTTTGTGACCAAAAACCTCACTTCTGTGTAATGAATGTTAATGTAAATTGGCTTGTTTCCTGAGTGTCTCAGCATTTGGTGAAATAAGTGTTTAGTGGTTTAGTTGACTCTTGGTAATTGTATCATTCCACTAAGGTATATTGGGAAACCCTTCATATTCTCTTAGCTATTTGATGCCAGGAGAACAGTTGGAGGTGGTGGTCTTGAAGAAGAAAACAGCATAGGTAGACTTGAGTGAAAGCTAATGTGTTTTTTAAGCAGATATGTTTTTTAAGCCTGATGTATTTTTTTATTACCTCAATTTGGTATTTATAATTTTAGACTAATGGGACAACCTACATTGTATTCTTTCATAATGTTACTGTTTATTCATTTTAATGTTTACTGAGGACTATCTCATTTCACTTAGGAAAATGATTACATTAATTCTTACTTTGAAGATGGAGATGATTTTGGTGCAGACAGTGATGACAACATGGATGAAGCAACCTATTAGCCATAATATTTCTCAAAAAATTTTTATGATAACAGTTTCTGAACATTCGGACAGGATTGTTTTCTTTATTTCTGATAAGGAATAAGTAAGTATTCTATTTTTGTTCCTGTTGTGTTGGACAGTTGTTACCAAAACTTGTAGAACCGTTTTGTTTACATAGTAGTTAGCTTACAGATTAACCTCTGACACTCTGACATTCCCTGTAAACACCTCTGTCATCCTTTTATGTGTTTAAGTGGATTTTTTAAATAATTATTTGGATTCCTTTGTGCCTAAAGAGCCTTTGCATCTCTCAGTCTATGCATTCATACTTGAACAAATTATTCTTGTTTAACTTTTGATCTTTTGTGAAACTATTTACTAGTCATCATAATGGATTTCTGTAGTCTAAAATTTGATTTAATACTGCACATGGAGCACTTTAAAAAACAAAGAAACTTGAAAATAACTTTAGTTTTACATGCTATGTTGTGTGCTACTACATTATGACTATTTAAACCTACCTGAGCTCTTACAAGTGCAAAGTTTGGAGATTGGAAGTTTTATGATTGACAGCAAATTTACCAGGAAAGGGGCCTAGCTGAGCTATATAAATTTTGTAGCTCACGTCTCAACCAGTTGAAAGTGACATTCACCTGGGGGAATAGTATAAATACTTGAATGTGGGGCTGGCTTCATTCATACAATATATGAATTAATCATCCTACTGTAATAAGCTTGACATCTTCAAATAGTTGGACTTAATGAAAAATCAGAGAGACATTTTATTTAACTTTGTAACATACAAAAATGTGAAGTAAGTTCTAGTCATATAAATTTCACTACAGGATGCATATGTGTAATGTCTGAGGTGTAGTAGCCTCTGTTGTGTTTCACTCGACTTACAAACTGTACAATTGATTTATATAATAATGCAGGATGAAACTCAGGTAATTTTAAAATTAAAATTAGTCTTCTGTTTTTTTTTTTTAACTTAAAAGCTAGCCTCCCTCCCGTCTTTTTATATTTTGGGGGAAAATACCTAAAAATCTCAGCCTCCAAAGACTGACAGATGCCAAAGATATTCATGGAAATTCATATTATATATTATAAAAAGGATTTATTAATATTACTCACCAAAAGAAATAATTTATTTTCCGCTTTAGAAAATGCCGTCCACGACCTGCTAACCTGAGAATCAGAGACCCAGATTCTATTTCTACCTGTACTATTAGACTCAACCTTGAAACTGAGCTTGGTTTTCTGTGCCTTAGTTTCTCCATTTGTAAACAATTTCCTATAAAAATTGTTTAAACACCAATCAGAATTTTCCACATATATTCATTCTCTTACCTTACAGAAATCATCAATTCTTAATTTAAATTTGGTTACCACCCTAAAAAAAATTGTAGCTTGGAAAATGACAGAAAACGTAGCTTTAAGAAACAAACATGTTTTCCTCACGAAACATACTATAATTTGATTTTCGCATCTTATAGTGGGGAAAATTGAAGAAAATATAAATTGTCTTGTGCCATTTTGTAATACGACTTTCTCAGGAAAAAGATCACTTCCAGTGGCAAATACTTCCTCGAATAATTTAAGGCAGTGTGAGGACGATTATTAGCTTAGTGCTGTGTTGACTATATGTGAATTACTTCTTTTTTAAAGGAGCTTATCAAAAATTTAAAAGATTCTAAATGGAAAACATTAATAAAACAAGTGTACTTTAAAGTAGCAATCTCCTGTACTTAGAGTAGAAACCTCACGAAGTTTTCAGTAGTTATGGACAAATAAAGTCATTTGGGATCGCTAATTAATGTACGTGTTTTATTCTCTCACCTCTTCGGTGTTGTTGTTCTTAGGTGCTATGGAGTCGGTTCTGACTCATAGCGACCCTTTGTACAACAGAACGAAACACTTCCGGTCCCATGCTATCCTCACAGTTGTTGCCATGTTTGAGCCCATTGTTTCAGCCACTGTGTCAGTCCACCTCATTGAGAGTCTTCCTCTTTTTCACTGACCCTTTACCAAGCATGATGTCCTTCTCCATGGACTGGTCAAGCCTGGTAACATGCCCAAATACATGAGACAAAGTCTTGCCATCCTCCCTTCTAAGGAGCATTCTGGTTGTACTTCTTTCAAGACAAATTTAGTCGTTCTTCTGGCAGTCCATGGTCTAGTCAGTATTCTTTGCCAACATCATAATTCAAATGTATCAGTTCTTCTTCAGTCTTCCTTATTCATTCAGTATTCATTCTTCAGTACTTTAGCCAAGTAACATTTAATTCATAGAAATCTTATCTCTACAGTTCTGTTTACTTGCTTTATTATAAATCTACAGATACCTGTTTGTATCAAATGAATACACTGAAGGTAAAGTTATTTCTTTCCGTAGCGTTCAGTTTGTCTCCACCATTTCAGTCCTGCAGATAATAAGGCAGAGCTTTGAGCAAGGATTTACCCATGGAGGACCCCAGCCATTTCTCTTATGGGCATTGTCTTCCCCTATTTGGAATATAATTTTACAATTCTAAAGTAAGTTAATAGTGAGAAAAACAGGCAGGAAGTATTTGCAGGTGATTTACCAGCATGAGTTGTGTTTTTCTGGCTTAAAATCTCAGAGACTATTAAATTATATCATAGTGAGAAACTGTTTTAATTCTTCTGGAATCCAGATTTCTGTGGCTGTGGAATTGGGGTGACCCACCCAGGCCATTTGCCCTTAGGTGTCCTTTTGAAACTTGAGCCTTTAAGGAACTGGTTTTCCTGGAGTCACCTTCAGGTCAAGTAATAGCTTAGTAAGCAGTTTAGAAGAGATTATTTTGCCTTAGGCATTGGGCTCTTTTGGAGAATTATCTATGTGCAGCAGTTTCGAGAGGCAGGAACTCCCAAGGTCTGACTGGAAGCTGTGTTTTAGGATATATGGCATGTCCTTAATGACTGTTTTTACAACTGACTGACCCTAAAGCTCTTCACATGCTCTGAGAAACCAACATGGAAGGAATTTTACAATGACCCTCAGCCTGGACCCCGCTATATAACCTGCTTTCACTGTCTCCTCTTCAGAGTACCTTCCCGATACTTTCAGCTGCCTGATTCCAATTGTATCTACTCACAATAAATCTACTGTTACACTAACTTCTGGTGTTTTTCTGTAAGTTTAGGTTTTTAACAATAGGAAGATAAACTTTAAAACATTGCTTGTTGGTGGAGTGTGTTTAAAATTGCTGTATAACAAGCAAAACTTTTTGTTGCTATAATGCTATTTTTCTGTATTTGTTTACAATTAACAAAATTAAATTGTCCTTTGTTTTATATTAAGATGTCTTGTTTTGAACCTACTTAAATATATGGTATTTACTTGGTAGGAATAATTAATCAAGATTTAACCTAGTCAAAACCAAAACCAAACCCACTGCCATCGAGTCAATTCCGACTCATAGCAACCCTACAGGACAGGGTAGAACTGCCCCATAGGGCGGGAGTGGCTGGTGGATTCGAACTGCCTACCTTTTGGTTAGCAGCTGAACGCTCAACCACTGCACCACCAGGGCTCCTAACCAAGTGTCATGGATTAAATTGTGTCCCCCAGAAATGTCTGTCAACTTGGCTAGGTCATGATTCCCAGTATTGTATTCCTACCATTTTGTCATTTGATGTGATTTCCTTGTGTGTTGTAAATTCTATCACTATGATGTAATAAGATGGATTAGGGCAGTTATACTGATGAGGTCTACAAGATTAGATAGTCTTAAGCCAATCTCTTTTGAGATATAAAAGAGGTGAGCAGAGAGACAGGGGACCTCATACCACAGAGCACATCCTTTGGACCTGAGGTTCCTGTGCTGAGATGCTCCCAGACCAAGGGAAGACTGACGACAAGGACCTTCTTCCAGAGCCGACAGAGAAAGCCTTCCTCTGGAGCCAGTGCCCTAAATTCAGACTTCTAGCCTACTGGACTGTTAGAGAATAAACTTCTCTTTGTTAAAAGCCATCCACTTGTGGTATTTCTGTTATAGCAGCACTAGATAACTAAGACACCAAGTAAAATAACTATGAATTTATTGAGCAGAATGTCCAGTATCAGGTACTCTTGAACACCACCACTACCACCACCACCAAAAGAATACTGTAGACATGTGGTTAGGGAAAAAGTTGTGTTAGCAAACTAAGACATTTGGCAGACAGTGTATTCGTGTAAGCAACAACTGGTGGTGCAGTAGTTAAAAGTGCTCAGCTGCTAACTGAAAGGTTGGTGGTTCGAACCCACCAGCCTCTCAGTAGGAAAAAGATGTGGCAGTCTTCATCCATAAAGATTACAGCTTTGTAAACCCTGTGGGGCAATTCTGCTCTGTCCCTATAGGGTTGCTATGAGTTGGAATTGACTCAAAGGCAGCGAGCTTGTTTTTATTAGTATAATCATTGGTGTCATAGACTTACACTGGTTTTCCAGAAAACAAACAAACCCATTGCCATTGAGTTGATTATGGCTCATAGCGACCCTACAGGACAGAGTAGAGCTGCCCTATAGGGCTTCCAAGGCTGTAATCTTTATGGAAGCAAACTGCCATGTCTCTCTCCTGTGGAGCAGCTGGTGGGTTCAAACCGCCAACCTTTCGGTTAGCAGCCAAGTGTTAGCCACTGTGCCACCAGGGCTCCGTCACTGGATACCAGAGAATGCTAATTCAGAGGATCTTGTTAACCATCTTTCCTTCTCAGCATCGTCAAATGTACAGTGTAAATAGCTTTACCTTAACATAGTTTAAAGCTCTGGAGTTAGCAAAAATTTCCAAGCTGGTTTTAAAAATGGGAAAAAAATCACCACAGCACAAAGTCCTTCACTGGAAAAACAAAAACTCCAAAGAACTTTCTCAATTCTTTGTGTTGCTGGTAGTTTCTAAAAATTAACATTCTGGAAGTTGAAGCTGTTTTTTGTTTCATAATAATGAAGTTTACATATAAATAGGTATACTGTTACATGACTGTGACCCAAGACTTCCTATGAAGAAGTCATGGACCATGCCTCATTGGGTCTTCTTCCCTGAGGGTCCCCAAGGAACATTTGTCTAAAATTTGTTGTACTGTTTCATTCATATCCTATAAATAATTCAGTGGATTTTGTTTCAGTGTAACAAGTGGGAAATCGGAATTGGTAAACCTGTAGGAATTTGATCTATCTCACATTATATGTCTAGGTCAAATAGATTGAAAGTGTAGTTTGCTTTATTCAATTAAATTCACCAGCTACCATTTTAGATTGAAAAATAAAATAGAAACTTTATTACGTTTTGCAGATCTTTTAAAATATGAAAAATAAGGGGCAAAAAGTTTTAAAAACCACTTTTTACAGATGTAACATGCTAACGTAATGTTCTACAATTACGTTTGCATTTATATAACATACACAAAAGATTAGCATTTGCATACATAAAAAGAATTAAAGCATTCAGATAGTTCTACAGTCTAACAGTGCAATGTGCACATACTTGGAAGAAAAATACTGATTTCCTGAGCAACACTGTTGTTGTAATTCAAAATAATAATGATTTCCATCATAATGTACCATTTAAATACAGACTTTTAAAAATTCTATCTTTACCCTTTAACACTTTGATTGGATTCTTGCTTTGTATTTCTAAAACTCTTAATTGTATCCTTCATATTTCCTATGAGGTCGTTTCCGAAAATAACCAAAAAAACCTAACCTGTCGCCATCGAGTTGATTCTGACTCATAGCGACCCTATAGGACAGAGTAGAACTGCCCCAGAGGGTTTCCAAAGAGCAGCTGGTAGATTCAAATTGCCGACCTTTTGGTTAGCAGCCTAACCCTTAACCACTGTGATACCTTTAAAAAGAACTAATTACTAAGTAGTGGTTCACTTAAAGAACTGTTCAGTCCACTGAACAAGCAGGTAGAATCCAGAAAAAGGAAAGCTTTAAAAAACAAAAAGCTTTCTTGCAGTCTTCTTACTAATCCTTAATGTGGCCAGTAGACCCTATAATCTATCTTAATATATCTGCTGTAGAAATATATCCTTTAATGAAAATATGAATCCTATAATTTTCTGGGTGTAGGGTAGGAAACTAATTCAAATGGCATCCATTAATTCAAAACAACCTTAAGCATGTCTGCCCAGACTTTTTGGAATCTGCCCTGAAAATAATCAGTTTTCTTCATTTGCAACAGGAAATTTTTAAGTAAACCAAATGTAATGATTCAGTTCTGTTACTTTTACATTTGCTAATATTTGCATGTGTGTATACATATGCATATGTATGCACACATATATATACATATATGTATATATATTTACTAATGTAAATAGAGCCCCAAAATGAATTCAAATAAGGGTTTCAACGCAATTAAAATCCACACTATTAAACAATAACTGTTTATGTTACTGTTATACAGAGTAATTTTCATTTGCTACAAATTGCATGTATTAGCAGTACTTTTTAAAAGTTAAAATAATACAATCTATTAGAGGTTCAGGAAACTTTTCTTTAAAAATTGACACTTAAAGATTACAGTCTGTAATTCTACATATATAACATATATATGTAGAATTATATATAATTCAAATTATAACTAAAAAATATATAATTTAAGTATACAGAAATAGGAAAACTGCCTGTGTCATAAGGATATGTTATTTTTCCTTCAAAAAGATACTCTGCAAAACAAAGGATTTTTAACCAACAAATACACAGTATACCCCGTTACTTTAAAAATGAGTTACTTATTTTGGAAACCAGGACCATAATAATTTCAAAGTAGCACTAGCAAAAAGTAATCACTGACTCTCCAAAATTTATCAATCTGACATAAACAATGTTCTTCAAAGGACATCTAGTCCATTTCTACCCTAAAATAATCTTGCATTTTCTTTCCCAAAACCTGATTTTTCAGCAGGCTTAAAAAATACATGTAAACTGACCAAGTTAACACTGAATATAGGTTAGAAAATCACACTCCTCTTTTCAAGATGCGCAAGGTACATTAAAACAAAAAGTTTTTAAACTGAAAGATTCAACTTCCTACAACTTCCCTATTAACACTTCTTGGTAATAGTCTAAGATCTTCTTAAATAAGCAAGGGCTTTAATATTTGACATCTTTGTCCTGTCTTTTTAGCGATGCTTTTCTCCTTAAAGTACATAAAACTCCATTACATATATAAGTATATATATGCACTCCACTTTACATCAAGACTGGAGTTTGAGACAGAAAATGACTGATCTGAAAGCAGAAACATTAAAATTTAGGAAATAATGCCCAGAAAATGAGGTGGTATTATATATCTTAAGATAACACACTTTATTATACACAAAACAGGCAATCCAGACTCCAATCTCATTTCTATTAAATCATTTTGGTTACATTTTAAAAACACTTTTAAAAATTAAACGATGGGATCAATATGCAAATGTTTTTTATTCAGTCAGACTGTGGATGATCCACAGATCTACCTTTTAAAGCAGCACCATCAAGCCCTTTCAGCCAATCCACATCCCTTCAGTCTCTATTCCCCAGTCTGATTCTATAGTTCAGGAAAAAAAGTCTAATTCAGAGGTTTTCTCTTTGAAAAACAGAAGTCAAGGAATCAATAAAGCACCTTGTCTGCTACTGCTAATGCAAAAGGCCTTGTTTTTGCTTAATGAGGCATTTTCTTCAACAGGCCTCAGAGGCAGACAATAAAGATCTTCTGACCTCATTAACTTGTGCTTGATAGTGAAGGTGGAGATAAATTTATACAGCCTATATAATGAAGCAGCAGTCAAGAAATCAAATGACATATTGCATTGGTCAAATCTGCTGTAAAAGACTTCTTGAAAGTTAAAAAGCAAAGATAGCACTTTGAGGACTAAGGTGCACCTGACTCAAGCCATGGTATTTTCAATTGCCTCATGTGCATTCAAAAGCTGGACAATGAATAAGAAAGACTAAAGAATTGATGCCTTTGAATTATGGTGTTGGTGAAGAATATTGAATATACCATGGACTGTTAGAATGAACAAATCTGTCTTGGAAGAGGTACAGCCAGAATGCTCATTAGAAGCAATGATGATGACTTTGTCTCATGTACTTCAGACATGTTATCAGGAGGGACCAGTCCCTGGAGAAGGACATCATGCTTGCTAGAGGGTCAGCGAAAAAGAGGAAGACCCTCAACGAGATGGACTGACACAGTGGCTGCAACAACTCAAATACAGCAACAATTGTGAGGGTGGTGCAGGACCAGGCAGTGCTTCATTCTGTTGTACATAAGGTTGCTGTGAGTCAGAACCAACTCAGTACCACCTAACAACAACATGTAATGAATCTTAGTGGACCATTTGAAGTAATGCTCAAGTTTAATTCTAAAAATTATACTGGTTTACATAAAATAAAATTTTAAGGCATTAAATGTATTTAAGGCATGTTACTACACGTAACAGCAATGATTTATCACGGTACATGAGGAATTATTTCCTAAGTAATGCTAATTTGTACATGTATAACACTTTTTATCGAACTACAAAAGTGCTTTCAACATCAGGGCAAATATAATTATTTTAAAAACAAAAGCAGAAGCAAAGAGTTTAAAGGGTCTATCTAGGGAAGCAAAGAAAGCCTTCTTTAGGTACAAAGATCACTTTTAGGTCTTGACCTATTCCAGTGTTCTAGTGACCAAATGGCAAATTCCCAACCATAACACATTATTTTGGGGGCTTAAAAAATTCAATCTTTTTCTTACCCTCTATTACAGAAACTACCATTTGTTTCTACTTATATTTTCGTATGTGCTAAATGTGTTTTTAAAAAGTTTCAAAATGGAGTATTATGTGCTATCATAAGTAATTTTGGAATCAATCAACTTTTTTTTGCAACTCAATGTTTTGATGGCTCACAGTAGTATATTCAGTTGCAGACATCTGTTGCTATCATTCACATTATAATAAATTTAGCAATAACTTTAATCCAAAAAATTACTTAAAAAATAAAATTTAAGCATAACTAGTCTTGAGTAAGAAAAATGATACATTTTCCAGGTTTAGAACTTCCTAAACACGTATTTAAATTCACTTCCACTTCAAGCAGTGATGTAACAGAAATTCAGACTGCCTGCTCTCAGCATGAACTAGCAAGTTTAGGGATTTTATACACAATCCACTTGTAAATGGCTCAAAAAAAAAGTATTTCCAATCTCCCTAAATACTGCCTTTTAAGTGGTTATTAAATATAACTGATTCACCACATTCCAGATGCACACGTGATCACTAAATAGTGATTATGAACTAATTGCTATGTTTTGTGTTGAGCAGCAGGTGCCTGGGAATCTTGACTATATAGTTTATGATCATCTTGTTGGCCCAAGTGTATTCCTTTTGTTGGGGCAATTCCATTTTCCATTTCTCTCTGCTGTGATGGAGGTGTGATTCCTGAATGCAAATGTGAAGAATCCACTGTTGAATGGTGACTAACATCCACTTTAGCTAAAATTTCATAATATAGCAAATAAAATACTGGCGTTATTATACCTACTATCAACATTATCACTACTGCTGTCCACCATCCTATACCCCAGTCTGCTCCATAATAAGGATCCTTACGTTGAGTGTTTTTGTTGTCAGGTTCAAAACGTATTTGCTGTGCTGTTAAGGCAGATACCACCTCATTAAGGTTCTCTCTTTTGGTGTCTGTACATTTTACTATTTGCTCTATGTCGCGGTCCACTTCTTTTAAAAAGCTACCAGCTGACTCACTGGAAGAAAGAGAATCATTAGCTGGCACAATTTCCTGTTGCTCTGGAGCAAACTGAACAGATGAAGGACGTGAAGCCTGTCTTCCTTTTGGAGGATAAAGTGTTTCAGTCAATGAACTGAACTTTTTTACTGGAATTTTGATAGACCTAAGGGCAAAAAAGTCTTGATCGCTGATGAGATTATTAACCCTCTTGATATCTGCTACCTGTAAAAAAAAACAAAAAACAAAAACAAAAACATTCATCTGACTTCTAAATCAAAAGAGAGCTAGCACAATCATTCATCTCAGTTACTTTTGGAGAAAAAAAAAGTTGATCTGAACTATTAGTGTTAAGTTACCATTCCCAGAGAGATTTTATTTTGTAAATAACAGTTCTGTATTATTTTTTATCTACCACTCTTAGGGAATCATCAATTACTTTTTAATACCAGTCATATATTATTAACACTAATGCTAACTAGCTAGCTAGATTCTAGGATTCTTTGCCATTTCCCTTATTATGCATCATGCACAAATGCCACAATTCTACAGCTTGTAAACAATTTGTGGAGGAAGGATTACAGGTACTTATGTTCTTTCAATCTGGCAAGTTGAGCACAGGTATATGTCAACTATCCAACTAAACTACCACTATTTTATCAAAACTGAGATACTATCAATTCTAAGATGCACCATTATTTTACTTATCTCTAAGGGGAAAAAAGAAAAACACCAAATATTGAAGATGCCATCATTCCAATTTCAGAGATATTAAAATGTATGGTAAACATAGACCTTAGAATTGATAAAATATGGTAATTTAACCTCTTCAGTTGGTCTTCTGAAGCCATTTTTCCCAACTTCTCAGTATAAATTATTCAACTACCCCAAGATTAGTCATTTTTATAAGCTTCCCTTATATATTATCTTGTCTTCAACCTATCTGTATATCCTACCCATCTGCCACTGTGAAGAGGGGGATGGGGGAGTGTTTCTCAGATTACTAATTGGTATGCGAGGCTCTCCCATCACCTTTAAATTATTAATCTCATTCATCATTTCAATCAATGCTTTAATCTAAGCCCTGATCATCTGTCACCTGATTGATATCAGAGAGTTAAAGTGAGTCCGGTATGTAACAGTTTTCTGGTTCGGTTAACTCTATCTATGGATGCTGACGCCATTCACTGAGATACGGGACACCGCGGAGAGCGAGAAGATGAGCACAGCTTCTAGAAACACTGGGTTTGACGTGCTCATGGGATACACGAGTGGAAATGTCCCCAGGCGGTTGTAGATATATGTCTGAAACTCACAAAAAGGTTCTCACTAGAGGTAAATATTTGTGGATTATCAGTAAAAATGGTAATTGAAATCACAAGAGTAGACAGATTCACTAGACAAAGGCTGAGGAGGAAAAGATGACACAGGACAGATCCCTGAGGAATACTAACATTTAAGGGGTATGTTAAGTGACAGAAATACACTAAAGAGGTTAGGAAAGAGTGACTGGGAAGGCAGTATATAATGACAGTTAAAAGCATGGACTATCTGGCTCTGAATCATCACTCTGACACTTTCTAGCTGTGTGATTTGGGGCAAATTGTTTAACCTCTCTGTAATTCAGTTTCCACATCTGTAAAATGGCAGTAATGATACACCTATCTTACAGGGGTGATGTTAAAGACCAATGAATTAAAATGTATGTAAAGCACTCAGAATAGGGATACAGACAATGTGTTATGTAAATGTTGGCTGTTACTAAATATTAATAGGAAAATCAGAAACCTGCAGAATCAAGGTGGTCAAGCAAAGAGTGGTTTTAGGAGTGACCGGTGAACAGAATCAAATGCTGATGAGTGATCAAATCCAATGAAGACTGAAAGAGGTTATACTGGAAAAAATCAATTTCCGTGGAGTGTATGCGTGTAGGTGAGGTGGGAGGGAGTAATGAAAAAATAACTAGGAGGCAAGACAGTTAAGATAAAGTGATTTTCCAATTTTTGTACCTCGAGACTTTTTTCTTAAAGCAAATGAAAGATTCACCGACAAACCCAAAGCCTGACTCCATTCTCTTTAAATGCTCTTTTGCTTGCTACTGTATATGCTGACCAATAACTACTCAATACTCTTTCTGAACTAGTCTTCTAAGGTTATCTACCTTGGTTATCTCTCTGAATGTCCCTATAACGTTTTCTCTGCTACGCTAACTTCATTAGCTGCTTTTAGAATTCCAACCCTAGGCTTTTTATTCCTGTTTTTATTTCATTACTGTTTTATGATAGATATATTTTTAATAATTCTTAAGACTGGATATTTTTAAGTGGAATACAGCACTAGCTTTTGTATTTTAAAGTAGTGATGATTTTTTTGTAAGATTAATCTTTTTTGCTAGTTGAGCAACTGGCAAAAGGAAGCACTGCTTATCTTAACTCTGTAACTGTTTTTATCATTTTTTCCACTACTGTGACCAATGCTGTATTTCCGTTAATGTTAGGCTAATCTCCTTCATCATTCCTCACTCCAAATAAGGAACCAGATGATACATCCTGTGATTTCCCACAAGTACATTTCCTATCAGCTTATTTTGTATCCTTAACACAAATATTTTAGCCTAAGTCCTTATCATCTTCATCTATATTATTTCAATAGCCTCTTTACTGGACCTCCTCCAATTCACCAGCGGGTTTCTCCACCATTCTGCATCACTCTTGTTATAAACCTTACAACACTGTTCTCTTACTACATGGATCAAACTTTTCCCAAGATGGACACAATGACACAGATTAAAAAATTGATTTCAAATTAGAAATATACCTTTCCTTTGACTCAGCAATGCCACCTTTACAAATGTATCCCACAGAAATAAAGGTACTGACATTTAAAGATACAGTCATGATGATATTCATTGTACAATGCAAAACACTGAGAAAATCCTGACTACCTATAAGCAGGGGAACAGTTTAATAATTATAGTGCTTCCATACTAGGGAACATTAATATAGGTATTTAAAATAATGAGTTAGAGCTTTATGGCTATGAGGGATGTCCACGATATACTAAGAAATGAAAAACGCAACTTGCAGAGTAATATGCATAGTATAAACCAATTTTAAAAACATAAAAATTACCAGACGTCCCCTCTCAATATTGTGTGTGTGTGTGTGTGTGTGTGTTTAAGAGCATAAAAAAAGTGTGGAAAGAAGTACACAGTGTTAACATTAGTCATCTCAGGAAACTGGGACGGGAAACATTTTCTCCTTACGTATTTCTACATTCTCTTACAACCTAATTAAGGAGAAAAGATAACGAAAGATATTCAAGTATTTTTCAATACTAAAAACAGAACAGTGGGTTTGGAAATAAACAAAAATTCAAGTATTCATTTAAAATTTTAAAAAGTTAACATCCACCAATATGAAACAGATCTCTACAGTAAGAAGAAAAAATAAAACCAAAAAAAAAAATGGAAGAAAGGAACAGACCAATAAAAGGACACAGAATTTATTTCAATTTGGTCTAAGGAACAAATAATTTATTTTGGACTACATTATGCAAAATTAAAACTTACCGTACAACAATATTGAAGGGCTATTGCATTTAAAGTATCTCCTTCCTGTATATCTTTTGTTAATACTATAATGTCATCAAGTCTATCTCTTGATGTACTTCTTCGGACTTTTTCTTTTCCTCTGGATCGAAGTTCATACACTTCAGCATCCTCCTCCAACACATCACTATCTGTACAATTTCCATATGCATGTACTTGTCCACTCGACTGAACCCCTGGAAGAGGAAAACTACGATTCTGATGCCTTCCTGCCATAATGTCTGCATAAAATCTGCAACAACAAAAAGCAGAGGAAACTTTAGAATGTAGCTGATACTAATTTACATGCATTTTTTTAATATAATTATTTTATTTCTGTTTTTGTTAAGAATATACACAGAACACACACCAATTCAACCATTTCTACATGTACAATTCAGTGATGCTGGTTACATTCTTCAAGTTGTGCAACCATTTTCACCCTCCTTTTCTGAGTTGTTCCTCCCGCATTAACATAAACTCACTGCCCCCTAAGGTTCCTATATAATCTTTCAGGTTGCTGTTGTCAATTTCATCCCATATAGATAGATCTTATAGGAGCACAATGCTCAAGGCAGACGTTCTTTACTAGTTAAGCTAAACTACTGTTTGGTTTTAAGAAGAATTCAGGGAATATTTCTGGTTTAAGGTTTAAAGACTATCCAATGGAATACTACTCAGCCAGTAAGAGAAATGAAGTCTTGATACATACTACAATATGGTTGGAGCTTGAAGACATTATGCTGAGTGAAATAAGCCAATCACAAAAGGACAAATATTGCACGGCCTCGTTTATATAAAAATACAAGAACAGGCAAATGCACAGAGACCAAAGTTTCTTAGTGGTTACCAGGGACAGGAGGGAGGGGAAAAAGGCGGGTTATTGCTTATGGAGTACTGAGTTTTGGATTATAGTAATGGAAAAATCACATTGATTAAGGGTAGAGTTGTACAAACAATGTAATTACTGTCAGTAAGCTGCTAACCTGTAAATAGTTGAATTGGTGAAAGTTGTGTGATGGATAAATTGACAATGACAAAAAAAAAAAAAGAAGCTGCTAAGACTGCTTATGTACAACCAAATACCTCACAGGATTTGGTTCCTTGGTTTGGAGGTTTAAGGTCACAGCTTCATGGGACTTTGCAGTTAATTGGTCTAATAAAGTGTTCAGTGCTTCTGTTCTACCTCCAATTTGTTGCATAATGCCTGGGATCTTAAAAGCTTGCAAGTGGCCATTCAAGCTACAAATGGTCTGTATTCGCCTGGAGCAACAGAGGAAGGAGAGTTAGGCATAGGAAGAGGAAATGGAATGTGTGGCTAATTGCCTCCATAAACAACTGCCCCCTTGGCCATGAGACCAGAAATGGATGGTGCCCAGCTACCATTACTGAACATTTTGATCAAAGATTCTATAGAAGAATCCTGATCAAAAATGGGTAAATGCAGAACAGAATTTCAAATTCTCATGGGCACCACACTGTCTGGAGCCATGAAGGCTGGAGGAACCCCTGAAACTACTGCTCTGAGATAATGTTTAAACCTCACACCAAAAATATCCTCTGATTTACATGCATCTTACATTCAGGTTTCAGTTTTTTAAAAACTGAGGTTCAATTCAGGAATGGTGATGGTTGAAGAACATGATGAATGTGTTTAATATTACTGAACTACATATGTGAAGATTTTTGAAATGACAAACATTTTGTAACCTATATATTTAACACAATAAAAAAAAACTGAAGCTCAAGTTTTATAACTGTTAAAGTACACTGAACATTTTTAGCAGTGAAGACAATGAGATGGGAGGAGGAGGAAATCCATTCTAATAGACCACATACCACAAAGCATGTGGGGGTAATTACATTTTAATGAGGGCAAATTGCCTTCTTTTTTTCCTTAAGGTCAAAAAAAAAACTACATTCCCTTATTCTGAGTATGTGAAAGAAATTAAGTATTCAGCCATAAAAAGGAATGAAGTTCTGATACACACTATAACATGGATGAATCTTGAAAATAATCTAAGTGAATAAGCCAGACAACAAAAGGGCAAATATTGTATGATTCCACTTAAGTATCTAGAATAGGCAAATTCATAGAGACAGAAAGGAGACTGGAGGTTACCAGGAGTTGGGGGAGAGAGGAGTGGGGAGTTATTACTTAATGGAACAGGGTTTCTGTTTTGGGTAATGAAAAAGTTTTTGAACTAGATAGTACTGATGGCTTATACAACACTGTGAATAATTTAATGCCACTGAACTGTACTCTTAAAAATGATTAAAATGGCAAATTTTGTTATATATTTATTTTACTACAATAAAAAAAAGATACAAAAAATTAGGAAATTAATTTTGTATTATATTTTAAAAACTTGTGACCATACATACAATATATAGTTCTAATGGGATCAAAGTATATGTTTTATACATACACATAATACTTTTACAAATCCAAAACTGCATTTTAAGTTCATGTGAGACTCAAATACGTTTTGCACTACCTACTTACCTCCCTGGATTGTTGTAACTTCAGTATTTATTTATAGTACAATATACTTCTTCTTAAGTCCCTGGGTTGCACAAACATTTGCACTCAACTACTAACCTAAAGGCTGGCAGTTTGAAGCCACCCAGTGATCTGCTTCTGTAAAGATTACAGCCAAGATGATCCTATGGAGCAGTTCTACTCTGTAACGGATGGGGTCACCATGAGCCAAAATCGACCTGATGGCAAAAGGTTTGTTTTGGTATATGCCTTCTATGCCTTCTTCTGAGACAGGCCATCATTTTGCTCTCTACTAGGAATTTTTCTTCTCTGGGAACCCTGCTGGCACAGTGGTTAAGCGTTCAGCTGCTAACCAAAAGGTCAGCAGTTTGAATCCAACAGCCGCTCCTTGGAAATCCTATGGAGCAGTTCTACTCTGTCTTATGAGGTTGCTATGAGTTGGAATTGACTTGATGGCAGTGGGTTTGGTTTTGGTTTTGGGAGCTTTTCACCCAACTTAAGATAGAGTCCTCGTCAAACTCATTTATGATCCATAAAGACTGTGAACAGATTTTAGGTCCTTTTGTTCATTTATACTTCAGAAAAGCCATTGTAAGACTAAGGGAGAGCTGACTTAAGTTAAAAACATGCATCAGTGAATACTTTTTGTTCACTTGAATACTCTCAAGTCACCTTCATCAAGTTGATCTATTCTCATTAAAAACAAAAATAAGAAGATAAAAAACTAATTCTACATTCAGTTTTAATTTCATATTAATCGTTCACATAAGAAAAGATAAAACATATTGGCGCTGAGTCCATTCAACTATAGCAGATTGCTTTTCGTTGTCGTGAAATGGAGGTAGACATGTATTAAGTGGCATTTTGGAGACAAAGTCCTTAGGACTTAGGACTGTGGCTCAGATATGAAGAGTGAGAGGGAAGAAGTTCATTTAACACTTCAAGATTTCTGATTTGCATAACTGAATAACTGGTGGTGCCATTCTCTACAATATGAAACAGTGGAAGAAGGGCTTAATGGGTGAGGAGCTATGATTAAAAACTCCTTTAAGACAACAAGAAGAATGTCATGTAGACAAGCAGGATATATAGTCAAATTCAGAGGAAAGGTCTAGGTTACAGTATAATTTCATGACTCATCTGCACATAGGAGGAAAGTGAAGCTATGGGCGTGGATGAAATTACCAACAGGGAGACTACAGATTAAGAGGGCTTAAGACTGACCCTTGAAGAATTCTAACGTTTATTATCTGGGTGGAGAAAAATCGGAAAAGGAGTGTCCAAAAGGGGAGGGAATCATTAAAGTGCCACATCAGGAAATCAAAGCAAAATAATGTCTCAAAGAAGGACTCAGTTCAATTCTGAATACTATTATATTAATTAGCTGCTGTTGAGTCACCCTGACTCGTGGTCACCCATATCCAGAGGGTTTTCACTGGCTGGTTTTTCACAGATCACCAGGCCTTCCTTCCTAGTCTGTCTTAGTCTGGAAGCTCCAGTGAAATGTGTTCAGCATCAAAACAACACACAAGTCTCCTCTTAACACACAGGTGATGGCTGCACATGAGGTGCATTGGCCAGGAAGTGAACCCAGATCTCCTGCACAGGAGGCAAAAATACTAGGGAGAGATTAAGTAAGATAAGTAACAAGTGTGGGGTGGGGTGGGGGAGTAGGTGGGAGGGGGGAACCAGAAGAGACCAGCTCCAAAAGTCTTAATCTGTAAAACGGATGACAAGAGATGATACTCTGTGTAGACACATGCTTGTAAAATTTTTTAAAAACTATCTCATATAATTGAATCCAACAACTGAAAAACAGTTTCTGACCCTGCTCTATGATAGCACTGCAGCGCTTTAGAAACAGAGGTTCCTGTTCAGGTAACATAGATAACTAATAGCTATATATTAAGTATATTAATTATCTCAACTGTTCCCCCAGTTAATAGAAAAACTAGGATTCCTAACATGACAGGCATCAAACTAAAGAAAGCCATCCACATTTTACATCTCAAAAGCAGTTTTCAAGTCATGATCACACCAGATCCCTCAAGCATATGGACTCTAAACAAGTGGCAATTAAAGATGCTTTTTTATTTAATTCTCCAAAAAGCTGAGAGTAACTCAACTTCACCTAAATGGCTAACAGTTTATTTCCACTTACTTAACCAAGTCCTTTTATTCTGTAAGTGTCTTTAATCTGAGGAATGTCTGTGAACATTTGTAGGCAAAATTTTATACATATGTACATTTGCTACATGGTTTAAAATCAGAAGGCATGCATCAGGGTTGTATCTATATTCAATCTGTACGCCTAGCAAATAATCTGAGAAGCTGGACTATAAGAAGAAGAACTCAACACAAGGACTGGAGGGTGACTCATTAACAACCTGCGATATGCAGATGACACAACCTTGCTTGCTGAAAGTGAAGAGGACTTGATGTACTTACTGATGAAGATCAAGGACCACAACCTTTAGTATGGATTACACCTCAACATAAAGAAAACAAAAATCCTCACAACTGGACCAATAAGCAACATCATGATAAACAGAAAAAAGATTAAAGTTGTCAAGAATTGCATTTTACTTGGATCCACAATCAACACCCACAGAAGCAACAGTCAAGAAATCAAATGGCACATTGCATTGGGCAAGTCTGCTGCGAAAGACCTCTTTAAAGTGTTAAAAAGCAAAGATGTCACTTTAAGGACTAATGTGCACCTGACCCAAGCCATGGTGTTTTTAATTGCCTCATATGCATGCGAAAGCTGGACAAAGAATAAGGAAGACAGAAGAAGAATTAATGCATTTGAATTATGGTGTTGGCAAATACTGAATATACCATGGACTGTCAGAAAAATGAACAAATCTGTCTTGGAAGAAGTACAGCCAGAACGCCCCTCAGAAGCAGGGATGGAGAGACTTCATCTCAGGTACTCTGGACATGTTATTAGGCAGGATCAGCCCCTGGGGAAAGACATTATGCTTGGTAGAGGGTCAGCGAAAAAGATGAAGACCCTCAACGAGACGGATTGACAAAGTGGCTGCAACAATGGGATGCAACACAGCCACAATTGTGAGAATGGCACAGGACTGGGCAGTGTTTTGTTCTGTTGTACACAGATAGGGTTGCTATGAGTCAGAACCGACTCTACAGCACGTAACAACAACATTTTCCTGGGGAGAATATTTATTACTTTTACAATTTCAAAAGGGGTCCATGATCAAAAAAGGTTAAGAACCACAATATACAGCAAATTTCAAGCGGCTATATTGACCCAGTTATGCTACCTTTTAGACTTTTTCTCCCTGATAATTTGTTCTTTGAACTCCAAACTGGGTTAGTATTTAAAAACAAACCAACCAACAAACCGACTGCCCTCAAGTCGATTCCGACTCATAGCGACCCTACAGAACAGAGTAGAACTGCACCACACGGTTTCCAAGGAGCGGCTGGTAGATTCAAACTGCCAACCTTTTGGTTAGCAGCCGAGCTTTTAACCACTAGGTCACCAGGGCTCCTGGGTTAGTATAGCTAACTGAAATTCACTGAGGAATGTCTAAAAGCCATTTTAAATATTTGTATCAATCTTTCCATGGCATGCTGCTAAATAAAGACTAGAACTTCACCTGTCTCATTACCTCTCTATTCCCCTTTGTTATTAAATCTAGGCAGCAGAATACCACAAACTGGGTATTCTGTTTCTGAATAATTAAGAATTGGTTGTGTCTTTAACCTAAGTGCAGAGGTGGGCTCTGGTCCCGAGAGATAATTAGCTGAGTTTATCAAGTACGTAGTATTCAAGTTATCTGGCTCAATTCTCTGCATCTCTCAATTCTCTTAAGGCCGGAAACACACGAAATTCTCTTTGGAAACCTGCATGCTACACAGATTGCAAGCACAGAAAAGTGATTACCAATGGATACAGTGTTAAAGCATTCATCAACTCAGTAACTGAAAATGGTCTCCTAAACACTCTAGTACTGTACGATATCTGCTGTTGGGTGTTTCGCGTTGACATTCGTTAAGCAGTGAGCAATAAAAGGGCCAAAAGGCACAAGCTAGTTCAGCACTCAGAGAGAACCACAGGGACCGTATTCCCCAAGGCCAATTCCGTTTTTAAAAACTTATCTTTCCTCCCTCTCCATTCCACACGCCTACTTTTTTCTTCCCTTGTTAACCGATGTGAGGATAAGATCTCAGATTTTATATCACACCAGCACATTTGGACGCTGTGGACGAGAGGTCACTCAGAGAATATTCAGCGCAAACACAAGCGGTCGGAGAAATGTAGTGCGACCGGGCGGGTGGAAATGCGCTGCTCCAGGAGTCGGGCAGGTGGGGGTCCTTGCTCTGGGCCTGGTTCCCCGACAGTAGAACCATGGGTTTTGGCGGCGCTGGTCAAGCAGGTTTCCCTGGCCCCCAGGGATTCCTTTCACGCGGGACCGGGTCCAGCCCAGCTCGTCTCCCTCCCCTGTTCCTCCCTCCACCCACACCGCACCTGCGGCCAAGGGCTCCGTGCCTCCTCCGCCGACGAGGACCGCGCGCCCCTCCACCTCCTGCTGCCATCTTTACCTGTCCCGTTAGCAGGGGGGACGCAGCGAGGAGACGTCTGCCAGGCCCGCGGCCACCGTCCCGGGTAAGTTCATCGCCGAACCTCCGTTTCCAGCTGTCCGCCACCGCCAACGTCTCCGCCTTCCGGGCCGTGCGCCTCCGCCACGTCCGCAAACCTGTCGTGCGTCATCGCGTCAAATGGGAAGTGCGAAGGGGTTGGCGAAGAGGCGGAGCGCGGAGGCGCGAGGGCGAACCCTGCACCCGGGACTCTCAACCATTACCCACCCCTACCACGCAGGCGCAGGGTTGCTGCCGGGGTTCGGGGGCGAGTCCTAGTTCAAGCCCCGCCCCTGCCCCGTCCCGTTGGACCCCGCCTCTTCCACCCCTAGTAGAATAGTACTGCGGGCCAAGGCTGCGGCCGGCATCGCGGATGCCGGCGACTTGTAGGGTTCGCAAAGTAGGGTTTGTCCAGTGTCCGCAAAGCGCTGCAGAGACTGTCTGGAAAACCTTGAGGAGGGGTCGGTGCTGAGGATTTGTTGGGGAGCTTTTTACTTCTTCTTGCTCTGCGTCTTGAGGTTTTCTTAGGCTATGGAAGGACACCTCAAAAGCACAGTGTTGACATCCTTGTTTAAAAAAATGTCTTATACTATGCTTATTATATTACTCCTTTCATGCTGAAGGTTCCAGATTGCTGCAGAAGAGGCAAAATACTGCAGAGAAACTTTTGGGGGGGGGGGGGCCGTTTGTTTTAGGCCTTTTGTTTATAGGTGAGGAAAGTGAGCCACCTAGAGTCAGGCCTGGAGAAGTGTCTGCTCTGGGAGCCCTGGTTCTCAAGCTTCCCATTTTTAATCAGACAAAAATGGAAAAACCCAAACCCACTGCCGTGGAGTTGATTCCGACTCATAGCGATCCTATAGGGCAGAGCAAAACTGCCCCGCAGGGTTTCCAAAGCTGTAAATCTTTAGGGGAGCAGCCACATCTTCCTCCCAGGAAGCGGCTGGTGCGCTCGAACCATCCAACTTTTGGTTAGCAGCAAAGCGCTTTAACCATTGTGCCACCAATGCTCACTTCATGAGACAGGCTGCCTATAAATTGTACCTTAAACTGACTTTGGTTTGAAAATTAACTGAAAGTTGACCTTTTGGCTAGCAGCCTGAGCTCTTAATCACTTTGCCACCAGGGCTCCTTGATAGTCACCGGTGGGATCAATAAAATACTAGTTTGCTAAAAAGTAAACATGACTTTTTACATGATTTTTCTCACCGAATTTACTAAATTTGATAAGTGCGTGATAATGTATTTGAATAATGTAAATAAGTGTAAAGCGTTTTAATGATGCGTCTGATGCCTCCCAGTGTTCGCGTTATGGACGTTGCACTTTGACGAGCATGCTAAGTCTTATGACAATATGCACTTTAGGCCCAGACACCCGGGGTGCAGGGTGGGGAGCATGTCTTTTCAGAACGTCTGAATATTTATGCCTCATGAAGCCTTTGAAGCTTTGTTTTAAATTGTTTTCAACGGGTATGTTTTTCGTTTTCTGGGAAGTGCCTCAGCAAAGGTTAGGAATTCTGCACTGCAATATTTTTCTTTTATTTGAGGGGATAGGCACTGAGCCCTCCAATGCTACAAAGAGAACTGCAGGGGAAGAAGACTTAAAAAAAAGAGTTTGTCGAAGCTGTTCTGTCTGCTGTTGCCCTTGTGACACCCCTGTCTGTAACCATTTATCACTGAGACATTTTCTCATCAGTAGACAAAGGGTATATTCCCTACATGATGTTTAGAGCTTCAGCTGCTCAGCCTTCATGAATGTTAATGTGAATACAACCTTCTTTCTGCATATAGGTTACTTTTCTTATTTTAATGTCAATAGGCAATGGAATCCGTGTGAGAGCCAGAGTGATAGAATTTCAAGCACTTCTACAGGACTACTACCTGTATCCTTTGTATAAGTACTTCCTTGAAGTTATCTGCATGCTATTGAATCATTATTTGAATTTCGCAAAGGCAAAGTTATTGAATCGTTTTCTCAAAAAGGAAACAACAGAATTATATGTAGTTATTGGAATATACAAAGGAAGCAGTAGCCATGAATTTTGGCCAAGTTCCAAAAAACTGGTCAGTAGGAGCAAGTACTTTTGTCTGTGAGAAAAAGGATGTCCTTAGTGCTCATCAAAGCCAAAAGAATTTCCAGTTTTTTGAGATCTCATCTGATGCAGTTTCCATTAAAAGACTGTAGATGAAAGAATATGTAGTTTCTAGGAATTGTGTTTCTGTCATTAACTTTTAGGTTATAAGATTTGCTCAAGAATCAAAATTGTATTATAGTAAGTGTAAATTGATGAAACCTCTTAGGAGTGTTACTTGGCACTATCTATAAAAATTTAAAATGCAATTGACTAAACTATTGCATTGTTAAGTAATTGTCTTAGATTAACTTACATATTAACAGATATGTTCAGAAATCTTTATTTCCTTAATAAGACTAAAATCTGCAAACATTCTAAATGTTAGTAACAAACTAGATAAATAATTTCTGGTACCTTTAAGCAATGTAATATTAGACATCTGCTTAAAAGAATGAAATTTATATTTGTTGATTTATTCATTTATCTAACAGATTTTTGTTGAAGGAAAAATATATGGGAGGCCCTTTTTCTAGGTATTGGGGACAACAGTGGTTAAAGTGACAGTCCCAAATCCTTACCCTCATAAAGTTTATATATTCTTGTGGGGGAAGATAGATAAAAATGAAAAAAGTAAATAAAACATTAGTGTATTAGATGGTGATGAATGGAGGAAATTTAAGGAAGAAAGTTGGAGTGTTTTCAGAGAGGAGAGTTCGTATTTTAAATAGAGTGGGTAAGGAAAGGCGTGATTGAAAAGCTGACAGAGAAAGACTTAAAGGGAGCAAGTGTGTGAGCCATGTTGATACTTGGGGAGAGGAGTTGCCTTAATCCTGGAGCTTCCATTACTGTAACCCATTCCTGTTGAGTTGATTCCTACTCATAGTGACTCTATAGGACACAGTAGAACCGCTCCATAGAGTTTCCAAGGAGCGCCTGGTGGGTTCAAACTGCCGACCTTTTTGGTTAGCAGCCGTAGCTCTTAACCACTATGCCACCAGGGCTTCCTCCATTACTGTAGTCATGTAGAAAAGTCTCCAAAGTATATTTTTTAGAGAAAAGCACAGCAGTTAAGAGCTTGGCTGCTAACCAAAATGTCGGCAGTTCAAATCCACCAGCCTCTCCTTGGAAACCCTATAGGGCAGTTCTACTCTGTCCTATAGAGTCACTATGAGTCAGAATCAACTTGACAGCAACGAGTATAGGGAGTATGATGTTATTCCTTTGGAATAAAATCTTTTATGTACACACACACACTTGTGTATTATTCAGATACATATTCAAGTTTTCTTTCTGGAAGGTCACTGAAGGAATTTTTAACAGTAGTTGAAAGGGACTAGATGTGTCAGCAGAGTAGGGAGATTTTTCCTTTTTGTTTTGTTGTTGTTGTTGTCAGGGGCTGTCGAGTCAGTTCTGACTCACAGCAACCCCATGTACAACAGAACGAAACACTGCCTGGTCCTGCACCATCCTCACAATTGTTATGCTTGAGCCCATTATTGCAGCCATTGTGTCAATCCATCTCATTGAGGGCTTTTTCACTGACCCTCCAATTTACCAAGCATGATGTCCTTCTCCAGGGACTGGTCCCTTCTGATAACATGTCCAAAGTATGTGAGATGAAGTCTCGTCATCCTTGCTTCTAAGGAGGATTCTGGCTGTACTTCTTCCAAGACAGATCTGTTCGTTCTTTTGGCAGTCTGTGGTATATTCAGTATTCTTCGCCAACACCACAACTCAAAGGAGTCAATTCTTCTTCAGTCTTCCTTATTCACTGTCCAGCTTTCGCATGCATATGAGGCAACTGAAAACACCATGCTTGGGTCAGGCACACCTTAGTGCTCAAAGTGACATCTCTGCTTTTTAACTTTAAAGAGATCTTTTGCAGCAGATTTGCCCAATGCAGTGCTTCGTTTGATTTCTGGACTGCTGCTTCCATGGGTGTTGACTGTGAATCCAAGTAAAATGAAATCCTTGACAACTTCAATCTTTTCTCCATTTATCATGATATTGCTTATTGGTCCAGTTATGAGGATTTTTGTTTTCTTTATGTTGAAGTGTAATGCATACCAAAGGCTGTAGTCTTTGATCTTCATTAGTAAGTAATTCAAGTCCTCTTCACCTTCAGCAAGCAAGATTGTGTCATTTACATTCTGCAGGTTGTTAATGAGTCTTCCCCCAATCCTGATGCCCTGTTCTTTTTCATATAGTCCAGCTTCTCGATATTTGCTCAGCATACAGATTGAATAAATATGGTGAAAGGATACAACCCTGACACACACCTTTCCTGACTTTAAACCATGCAGTATCCCCTTGTTCTCTTCAAATGACTGCCTCTTGATCTATGTACAGGTTCCTCATTAGCACAATTAAGTGTTCTGGAATTCCCATTCTTCCCAATGTTATCCATAATTTATTATGATCCACACAGTCAAATGCCTTTGCATAGTCAATGCAACACAGGTAAACATCTTTCTGGGGTATTCTACTTTCAGCTAGGATCCATCTGACATCAGCAATGATATCCCTGGTTCCACGTTCTCTTTGAATCCAGATTGAATTTCTAGCAGTTCCCTGTCAATGCACTGCTGCAGCCGCTTTTGAATGATCTTCAGCAAAATTTTACTTGTGTATGATATTAATGATATTGTTCAATAATTTCCACATTCAGTTGGATAACCTTTCTTGGGAGTTGGCATAAATATAGATCTCTTCCAGTCGGTTGGCCAGGTAGCTGTCTTGGCGTAGACAAGTGAGCACTTCCAGTGCTACATCCATTTGTTGAAACATCTCAGTTGGTATTCTGTGAATTCCTGGAGCCTTGTTTTTCGCCAGTGTCTTCAGTGCAGCTTGGACTCCTTCCTTCAATACCATCGGTTCTTGATCATATGCTACTTCCTCCTGAAATGTTTGAACGTCAACCAATTCTTTTTTTTTTTTTTGACCTTTCTATATAGGTTGAGTTTTTATTACTGTGTCCTTTTATTATTGTTAAAAAATACATCACCAAAAATATTAAGACTGAACATATTTTAATTTTTGAATATCTGG